AACTGAAAAGAAAAAAGTGATGCCGATAATCTCATAATTAGTTCATTCAACTAACTAGTTATCTCATGATATTTATTTTGTTTTATGTAGGAAGATTTTGTCATAGCAAAGCTTATGGGAACCAAAGAAGTATTTTTGCAACACAGAAACAAAATAATTAGAATAGGAAGTTTGTCGGACTTATTCGGTTTTGAATATAATACACATCACAGAGTGACAACTATCAAAGAACAAACTGTAATGTGCATGTTATATCTTAGTTTAGGAGTTCACACTAGTGAGTACCCGCAAACCTTCCAGGAATCAAAGTAAGAAACCTTTGAAGTCAAGTTGTATGTAATTTGACTACGGATCCAAAGGATTACTACTATAACCTCAGTTATTTTAAAAGTCAAGTCATAATCAGTGATTTTAAGCATCACAGGTGTGTGGCATGTGCCATCAGTGAGAATGCATGACAGCCATTGAGTATAAAGTCACTGGAGACAGCAGGTTGTGTCTTCGGAGTGACCACTTGTACTCGTTGTAAAGAAGTCCCATACCAGAACAAAATAGCTCACCAAAGATTACTAGTTTTCCAGTAGCCTCACAGATGATGTAAGTCGATGGTGAAAACACTCTTGTCGGATCTACTCGTCTTAACAGCAATGACCAGGATAAAAGCACTGTGTTTAACAATTTTTTAAAATGAATAATAACGATTCATATATGACTGCTACTAAATCACTAGTATTATGGACTCGTTGGCTTTACTTCACATAATATTAATCAATTTAACCACGTCTTTGATTGTAACATAGAAAATAACTAATATGAGAATACGTTTTTGCACAAACTTATTGATGAGAATGCTAAAATGATTACCTGATACGGCTGACCTGAGAAATTTGTTAATTATGAACGATAATGCTTATATAAGTTTCAATAGCTTCGGTTACTTACAGTATAAATGGGATTCTAGGGGTAATATTTTTTATCCGTTGGCCGCTGAGAAAGTGAAGCAGTGGTTTTTAGTGAACGAACAAAATGCCTCATTTTTAGTCTTACCAAAGTAATGAAATTTATAATTAGCATAATAGGAGATCGGAAGCAGACATGAAAACAGTGAATAACAAATGAAAAGAACTAAAAGGAATGTCCAGGACAGAGTTTGATGGAGAAGGCTGGCGAGCGGCCTATGCTCCACCGCGAGGGATACCAGGCGTAAGTAACCAAGTAATACAGACCTAAGAGGGTGTTCTGTCAATACAGAAACGGTGGAGCATATGCTTATCTAAAGCGATAGATACATTTCGAAACGTTCACTGATTTCAACTTACAATAAATAAAACTTTGCAATGATTAAATAATTTATTAGTATTTCTACGCATTATTACAGTACAGATTATATTCTGACACTAATCGTTAAGTTACATACAGTTTTCTGTTGCGGGTTTTACTTTTGTTCGTCTAGCATTGAGAATGTCTTAGTGAATGAATGTGTCACTGATCAAAATAGGGAGGTTATTAGTCGAAAAGATATATTTATAGAAGTACTGAGTAGTTTAAATAATGCTTAGTCCGTTCAGGTTAAGGCAGCATATTTTATAAAAGAATAAACGGTGAAATCATTTGAACTTCAATCGATGCTTATACGCTTCATAAATCATCTGATACTTATACTTTAATTTAGAGTTTTTGAAACTATTAAAAACAATAAAATATATTAGAGTAAATGTTAGATTTAGAAAAAACATGGTTTTACAGTTAATTATATACTTTTTATGAAGGAAGCACCAAGTTTTGTTTTACATAATAACACTATTTCCTACGTAACACCTAACCGATAAACATATGTGTTTACCAAGATCGTTTATGATTATGCATGTCTAATTGACTTAAATATGTCACCGTTTTTTGCTACTTTGCCTACTTTGTTAGCACACTTTTAGGACACCTAACAACAAAAAGGTTTATATAACCTATCAGTTTTTAAATAATCTCGATTATACTGGATTTTTTAGAGCAATATCAAAAAACTATTAGCGGTAACTATGATAATTTGTACTTTTACTACTAACACATTAAAACACCAAAAGAAAGACTAAACAATTAGCGGAAACAGGTAATAAAATAATATGGTAAGTGGATGTCTAGGATCCGATTATGGATGATGAATGAATTGGTATATGTTATGTGATTATGATGTAAGTATACCGTCTGAAATCATTGACTTTTAACTCCAGTTATCTTATCGACTCTCGCTAAGAAATTTACCGTTTCATAAACATTAAACCTTAACGACCGGACAACTCACTGAATGCTGTCACATTTTGTTTGATCTAAGCCTATTTGTTTTATAATATAACTATCTACATTTTGAATAATACTGTGGTGTTGGTAGTGTGGAACGTATTTTAACAAGTAAGACGTGGTAAATAAAACATATATCTAAGTTTATTGCCCAACTAATAATGAATTCTAACATTTTAAACACTTATTTGCAAGACGCTATTGATTTTAAACGTGTATCATATCTAGTGACCGTGAAGAAAAAACACACGTACCCTCTTTAACCAATACGTTTGAGGGGTGAAAAAAATTTCTAATATAGTTATAACTCAAATTTAAATGATTTTCAATATTGTAGCTTGCTTAACGAAATTCATATACATGTTCTTATCCATTTAATGTCAAAAACATTTTGATTATGAAATTACGTTGCATAAAAAAAATAAATTTCAGTTTATGTTTGTCGGTAGATTTGTAAGGGCTTCAAACGCCCAATTAGTCAATAGAAATAAACATGAGACTGTAAGTCCATCAATTTAAAACCATTAGACCATTGACATCAAATTAAATCTCTATGTTTTTTAAAATCTGGTTTATTTATTGTACTACATGATAACTATTTAATTTAATCCGTCGGTAAGTACCTTACTCCAGTGGTTGTGGTTAGCATATCAAATGATGATTCATAACGGTTTACCAATTACTTTAGTCAGAATTAAATATTGTGGAGAGAATACGTTTGCAAGCGCGTTCATAAATACTGTTTGGTCTATACGAAAATGTCTTTAGTATATCCAAATATGGTTGCTTTTTATGTTAAGACATAAAGTATGTTTTGTAAAAAGTGTAAAATTAGTCTAGGATGAAAACGCTATGACTGTAGATAAAACAAAAGATCTAAAAAATAAGACAAAACCTTTAGAATGCTTTGAAACATTCAAAATATCTAAATGTATTTAGCTGCTCAATAACCACCAAAGGAAGCTTGACTTGAAATAAAGTTCATATCAGTAGCCTGAACGAAACATTCCAGCACCTTGTTCTTCCAACTGGAAATGAACCGTTATATTAAATGGCATATGACAGACAAATGTCGTAAGACAAACTTTACATTTGAATAGCGCTAGAATCAAAAATTTGCTGGCAGTCATTTCTCCTGAGTCTCCAAAGCTATCAAACATTTCCGACAGTTTCACATGGCGGTAATATACAGATAAAAAGTGCTAGGTGAACTGATACTACAATGTCCTCAAAAGACTCAGTAAAGTGAACATTCTTTGCTAATGTTTAAAGAACTTTCATGACTAAAAGAATTTTGAAACTAAACAGTAAAAGGCGTTGCAATAAATACTAAAATGTCTTGGTTTCAGTTAGTACATGAAGTTAGACAAACTCATTGCTATCATGACTATACTTTACAGTATTAAAGAGCAGACAAAGAGCAGATATTTAACTATTCATTTTTTAGACACATAAAATTAAATTTTTTTTCATCAATAAACATCAATAAGCAACTTTTTATAGCCATATTAAAGGTTTTGATGCTTTAATTCATTTAATAGGACATACCGTAACTTATTTGTTAGTACATGTCTGGTTATATGTAGTATTCAGTGGAAGAACTTGAGTACTGCACTCAAACACCGATATCTTGACTAGAATGAAGCAGCGGGATGTCGCCAAGGTTTTAAATAGACGCAGGCATATCGGTTTCCGGAATTTGAAAGCTAGCTGAACTCTTCTCCTTATTTAGCAGAGATGTTAGATACAAAGTAATCTAAGCTTTCATATTACTCACTGACAACTTACATGCGTTGTTCTCTTGCCTTTCGGAGCAGACAATGTGCATGTACATCAGCAAAATCACGAGCCCAGAACCAACTAATCATCTCGTCTAATCATCAACAAGCATAAGTCTTCGCCTCAAAGTATGTGTGCAGCTCGTTTTGAAGATGCACTTTTGAGAAAATTACCTCTACGTTTTGTGAATGCTAAGACTATTACAGTCTACCAGTTTTCTGCCCTTTACAAGCTGAAAACTAAATAAATGGAAGTGTCAGTAAATATTCCTGTTTCTTACGTGTAGAATGCAACCGGCTATACGCCAGAGTGAAATTTAGCTTGAAAATAATACCGAAATAGATTATCCCTTCAACTGTTCCCTGTAGCTTGCCATAGTATTTAGTACCAAAAGTGTATACAAATATCTGGATAAAAACACCTGGGCAAAAATTTAGAAATATTTTCAAATTTTTCTGTATACACAGAAAAATTAACTGTTCTACTTATTTGCCTGTAGAATTTTGTGGTTCCTCTGCATATAATCCCGCGGTTGCTTCGAATTCCGAATACAATACGTTCAGTTATACTCAATGAGGCGTACCTGCCTTAAGTAAGGCTTTTCTGAGAAGATTTAGTCTGCAATCAAATCTAACTGCTTAAAATAATACTGTTGATGTGCCGATAAATCAATAAAATTTTATTACTGTAAGGAAGGAAGCAATTGAAAAATAATCATTTACCTAATGTTATGTGAAAAATTGTCTTATTTCAAAATGTATATACAAGAATTACAATATGTTTGACCATGAAAAGTCAATTGAGGAATAAACTTGGTATCGTAAAACCACTGGTAGCTTAACATAACTAATAATACTTCTATTTTAGGAGGGATATTCACTTTAATTGAATCAACAGATATGAAGACATAGTGTATCACTATAACTTACTCGAAAACTGTTCTTCATCCGCAACCCACTTGTTATATCTCTTGATTTGTTCCTGGAAAGATAAAATGCATTATGCTAAAGAATTTTCATACGCTTTTAATGGCAGAAAATAAAGCAAACTTCTCATGTTCTGTAAGTTCCTCTAGTTCGTTAGGTTCCGCATGCATTTTCTCCACCATACTCAAAAACTTTTGACGTTTTGACTGTTCCTGCATTTGCGACTCTTAAAGGATTGTTTGAATAAACACTCAATGTAGCGAAAACAAAATAGATAATCCAAAGTAGCGGTATTATTACAAATAATATGAATTCACTGACTTAAAGTATAACCGTATTACAGTATGTTCAAACACAGTAAACTTATGAAAGCAGCAGCGTGCTTGCATCTTGGATTGAAACCCTTTTGTTTTAGTAGGTTTTGTGTTTTCACTCAAATTTATACATAAATAAAGGCAATTCAGTATCCTTTGACTGGGTCTGGGTGAAATACGTGAGTTTGAGAGTAGGATGTGATGAGATTGTGGTACATAATAGAAAGAACTTATAAAAGTAACTCGCTTACTTGTATCACTGGCTTTCCAGGTTTATTGAAGTGGTTTTTAGAAGAAATGAGTTGTGACTGAAATGGTTTCCCTGAGTCAAAATCTCAGTATCGAAAGGCTCGGAATACTTGTGCCTCGACCCTCCGTAAGTCTAGAAAATTGTACGAAGGAAAACTTGTTAAGGAATCCATAGAATGTCCTAAACGCCTGTATTTCTATATAAATCAAAGGACAAGGAGAAAAGGAAATATTCCTGCTCTATGGGGAGATAGTACTGCTTCATCATTGTGGAGGACGACTTTGGTAAGGCTCAAGTGTTCTCGAACTACTTTAGCAACGTATATACCATAGAAGCGCCCTTCCCGTCAGCGTATACAGATCCCACCATACATACACTGGATAGCGTGACCATTAAAGAACTCGATGTCTTTGGTCTGCTAAATAAGCTTGACATAGGTAAATCCACGGGGCCCGATGAATTACATCCTAGGCTACTGAAGGAATTATCTAACTTCGTTGCAAGCCCTTTAAGTACATGCCTTAACTTATCCGTTACGCACGGTCGTTTATCAAAAGACTGAAAAAACGCCATAGTAAGTCCTGTCTTCAAAACAGGTACGAAACACAAACCTGAGAACTACCGCCCCCTTTGGCTTACTAGTGTGGTTGTTAAAATCTTAGAAAAGATTATTCAGAAGGAGCCTTTTAGGTACCTCAGTGAAAACCGGATCCTTTCGGAGAAGCAGCACGGTTTCAGAACAGGTTATTCTTGTCTCACTAACTTATTAGTGGCTCGTGAAAGCTGGTGCTCTCTTAAGGACCAAGAGCTACCTGTAGACGTCGCCTTCATTGATTTCAGTAAAGCTTTTGACAAAGTTCCGCACAACCAGCTGTTATATAAGTCAAGAAAAGTCGAGATTGGGGGCAATTTATTGATGTGGATAAAAGACTTCTTAGTTGCGCGTCAACAAAGAGTAAGGGTGAACTCAAAGTTATCTAGCCGGGAAACTGTGCTTAGTGGAGTGCCCCAGGGTACAGTTTTGGGGCCAGTGCTATTCCTCTTGTATGTAAATGACCTTCCTTGTCTCCTATCATCTTCGGTCTTGCTATATGCTGACGATGTCAAGATATGGAGAACGATACGATGTAAGAGTGATAGCTTGGTACTTCAAAATGACCTGAAGAAGTTATCTGAATGGTCTGAAACCTGGCAGTTGACGATAAATACTTCCAAGTGTGTTGTGATGCATATCGGTCATCAAGGCACAGATACATACACGATGAATAACACTGAGCTACCTGTCGTCCAGACATATAATGACTTAGGAGTTATCGTTAGTCAAGACTTAAAGACTACTGCACACTGCCGTGCAATAGCCGCCAAAGGTTTTAGAACCTTATGGTCAATACGTAGGGGTTTTAGTCATGTCGACGCTAAAACGTTTTTGACATTGTATACAGTGTTCGTTCGTCCTAAACTTGAGTGCTGCATACAAGCGACTAGCCCTTGCTTAAAAAAAGACAGTGAGCTTCCGAAAAAGGTTCAGAGAACGGCGACTAAGCTGATTCCCGGAATAGCGAAGCTTCCGTATGAAGTTCGACTGGCCAAGCTGAACCTTTTCCCGTTGTCATATCGCAAAACTAGAGGAGACTTGAGTACAGTCTACAAATTGCTTAGTGATAAATTTGCACCTAATATGCCCTCATTTTTCTTGTCTTCCAAAACAGAGAATTTACGAGGACACTCCAACAAAAGTTCGTAAGCCGAGAACAAATTACTTGTCGGCTGACTATCGACTTTCCCATCGAATCATCAACGAGTGGAATTCACTACCTCAGCACGTGGTTGAGGCTCCATCCGTCGACTCTTTCAAAAGAAAGTTGGATCAACTGAGAGACCAGCATTGCCAGGACTAACATAGGCCATCAAGCCTCCTGGCCTTCCCAAACTGAAACTGAGATACTTTCGTGGAGCCTGGCCCATATGTTGCCTTCGAGTGGGGAGTAAGATAGTATCATGTGATCAGCTGAAGCCGAAGTCCTATTAAACTTCTGGATGGATGGTAAGATGGTTAAAGAGTTTTACGACCGATCACATCACTGCATCATTATATTCGATTATCTTCCACAGACCCAAGAGATGATGAATGGTGCTGTGTTCATCGGATGTTGCATATCATCAACAGAATTTTCTCAAACAATTTATTTAAATTACCCAGAACTTATGGGCGATTTGACGGAGTGCTCCTATTCTACATATTAGTCTGTATCAACCAGAAAGCGACTTAAAATTCGCGTACACTCTATGCCCCATTTTATAGCATACCATTACTATAAAAATATAGAAGTTATGATATCACAGACGAGAAGCAGTAATAATGGTGATGTCCAAACGAAGTCTCAAGCGCTTTTGATGGTCTGTATTAAAATGACCTAAAGTAAACACACGGAGCTGAAGTGTGGTGATGTCGTTTGTAATTGGGCTTCGAAGGTGATCACCGGTCTGTTATATCCGGTGAAGATTAAACTACAGGTAAATTCCAAGGACTATTCATGGACTAATATCCTATAAATATTCTTATTGTATAACTACTCAACAATTACACTATGGATATTTATATTCCTTTTATAATAAGCTTTATTTTGATCTATAATTTATTATTGTACGATTTACGGTCCTTAAGTTATGTTCAGTTTATTAACTACTGCCTCCCTCATTCACAGCCACTTTTTGGGCTTATTTGTGTACAAATATTATTTCCTATTTTATGGTACGTTGCGGTCTGTGTGATTGATATATAAACCAAGTATGCCTGAAATAAACGATCTGCTCTGATTCGGAAGCTGGTATCTTGTTCTGGACTCAAGTGGAAGGGCTCGTAGGACATAGGACCAATAAGGACGCTAAACTGCCCACACCGGTTGAACGTCATTGGTTGGCCTAGTGTGAAGATTCGTATAAGTCGTATCCGGATTGGTAGATAAGTCGTGTGATCGAAAAGCCAGACATCCAAGGTCATAACAATTGGCGACGGGGATTTTGGCAAAAATAATAATACGACAAGTGGTGACTCAGATTTTGGAAATAAATTAGCTGTTATAATTGCCGGTGTTTTGTTTTTGGAGTTAATATTATTATTGGCAGTAAAAAAAAAAAATGTCGATTTCCTTAGAACAGTTGCAGTTATTATTACAACAACAGCAGCAACAATATCAACAACAGCAGCAGCAGATGTTAGCTTCTCAACAGAGACTCTTGGAAACACTTTTGGGGAAACTATCTATCCAACAAGAGATTCCAGAACATAAAAGTATCGAGTCATACCTTAATCCAGTTTCAGAATTTATATTTGATGCAGACAATGGTCACACTTTTGAAGCATGGTTTGGCAGAATTGAAGACATTTTCCGAGTTGAATTTGCTGCTATAGATGATGCAAAGAAAGTCCGGCTGCTATTACAGAAACTTGGTCCTAATGAGCATCAAAAGTATAAAAACCATATTCTGCCTAAACATCCACGAGAAGTTAATTTCGATGAAACTGTTAACATCCTAAATAAAATGTTTTGTGAACAGTCGTCTTTATTTCGTATCCGGTATAACTGTCTACAGCTGACTAAAGGGGCTGATGAAGATTATACTACGTACGCCGGAAGAGTAAATTTACAAGCAGAACGATTTAAATTAAATGTATTAACCAGTGATCAATTTAAATGCTTATTATTTATTTCTGGTCTGAACTCTCCTGTTGATGCTGACTTTCGCATGAAGTTGTTATCCCGTATGGAACATGATGATGAAATGACGTTACAAACTATCACCACTGAATGTCAACGATTAATAAACCTAAAACAAGATACAGCTATGCTGGAAACCAAAAGTGTTGTGCCCTCAAATTCTGTTCATGCTGTTAAGACAGGTCAAAGACAAAACAGTACCAAAAGTCATAAATATTACTCGAAAACTCCTAAACCTGCAACTAAATGTTGGTATTGTGGTGCGTGGCATTTCTCAAGATTTTGCCGATTCAGAAATCATAGATGCACTATATGCAATAAAGTTGGCCACAAAGAATTAGTCTGCCGAACTAGAGAAAGTTTAAGATCAAAACGAACCAGACGTCCGCAGCAGTACCAAAATAAGTATATAAACAGCGTATATTCTACACTGGCTCTAAGCGTAGCGAATAAAAGAAGATATGTGGAATTAATTGTTAATGGTGTTTATATTCGATTGCAATTGGACACAGCGTCAGATATCACACTAATCTCGAAACGAACGTGGTATTTAATTGGGTGTCCGAAAGTATTACCAACAGAACACACTGCGCGGAATGCGTCCGGAGATATATTGAAACTTGTGGGAATGATAAAATGCTCTGTTAAATTCCGAGGTAATTACTTTACAGGAAATTGCTACTTAACGAACAGACATGAGTTAGACCTTATTGGTATAGACTGGATAGATAAACTAAATTTATGGGATGTACCATTAAATGAAATATGCACAATGAAAGGCGCAAATAATCCTAGAGATCCACCCACAGTTCATGTAACCAAGAAAGTCGTAACGATAGAAGATCTTTTGCAGAAACATAAGAACTTGTTCCAGAATAAATTGGGATGCTGCACAATTGAGAAGGCAAAATTATACCTACGACAGGATGTAAAAC